ACAGCATCAAAAAAAGTAGCCTTTAAAAATACCCATACTAATAACCGCAATCTTGAAAGACTTAAAAACCTTGTAGATCATTTATCCGAATTAGATCAGAAAAATTTCGAAGAATCAACTTTCAAGGGCAGAAATTTCTCAAAGCTCCAAAAATACTTTAAAAGCATACGAAAAAACTCAAGTACTCCAAGAACAATGTACTGGAATGAAAAAACCGAATCAACAGAGCACGGTAAAGCTAATCTTCTAAACAATTACCTCGTAAGCGTTTTTAACATTAAACAGAATGAAAACATTTTACCAATAGCTGAATTACCTGGCTCAATCAAATGCTTCAATTTCTCTGAAAATGAGATATACGACATCCTTAAAACATTAAACCTCCAAAAAGCAAAAGGACCAGATAGACTCGGTAACACAGTCCTAACCAATTTAGCAGATAGCATAACTTCATCTTTAAAACTGATTTATAACACCATCACCAACAAAGCAACATTTCCAACGATCTGGAAACTTAGCCAAATCATCCCAACTTTTAAAAATGGAAACAAGCAATCGGTCACAAACTACAGGCCCATAAGCCCGCTAACTGCAGTATCCAAAGTCTTAGAGAAACTGATCTTCCTTAAAATCTCACCAAAGATCTTCTCGCAAATCCATGACAGCCAATTTGGCTTCTGTCCTAAACGATCGACAACTCTGCAAATGCTCCAATTCCTCGACAAAATCTATGATGACTTTGTTAACCCTAATATCAAGTCTCTACAGGCAATATACTTAGACTTCGAAAAGGCTTTCGACAAAGTTCCTCACGACTTGTGCATATATGAACTCAATAAATTTGGCATATCAGGAAACGCACTTAAACTATTAGCAAACTACTTAACCAACAGAAAACAGCAAGTACGAATAGGTGCGGCAGTATCCAGCCATCTTGAAGTTAGTAGCGGCGTACCTCAAGGCTCACTGTTAGGGCCAGTATTCTTCATTACATTCATCAACGATTTACCGTCAACACTCACCAACTCGTGCTATGGTTACGCAGACGATTATAAAATTGTTGCAACGAACCCTTCCCTGCTCCAACATGACCTAATCACGATCAACTTATGGTGCAAAGATAATTCCATGAGTCTTAATTTGAAAAAATGTCACAATATAATATTCAAAGACCCCCAACTTGACCTAAACATGTATCTCGGTGACCATATACTTGAAAAAACCTGTTCAGAAAAAGACCTTGGTATACAAACAACCAACAACCTAAACTGGTCAGCACACGCAAAAATAAGAGCCCAAAAAGCAATAGGCTGCTTATTTTTAATTAAAAGAAATATTTCAAAATCAGCGAGCTTAAAAATGAAACTGAACTCCTACTGTGGATATGTAACCCCAATTGTGTCATATGGCTCACCCATATGGAAAGCAAATAAGTGTGAATTAAAAATTATTGAAGATGTCCAAAGAAAAGCTACACGTTGGATACTGTCATGTAACAACATCAACTATAAAGACAGACTGATTAGATTTTTTTCTTTTTTTTTAAAGGTAATCAGAAGGTCAAAAGTATCATAGTAACCGAGGTTACAGTCATGAGTCCCTTCATCATGTATTCCAGTCAAAATCCTTGGAATTTTCTAGATATGGAAGTGATAATGATAAAAGAAGATGTCAAGTGTTTAAGTCCTTTTCATTTAAAATCGATACGGGTTACGCTTCTTCAATAAGAACATGCAACTCGACACGAGATAATATAATATACAAGTGTTACAAGTAAAAAATTTCGTCGAAAGTTATTTTGTCATTTATTGTTCCGAGTACGCAAGCGGCGTTCGCAATCTGTATTGCCAGGGAGATTCTCTGTTTTAAAAAGCTGCCTGCTCTGGGTTCCTCAGTGCATATGCTTAGGTTTTTACAAAGCTTGCTCAAAAAAACTTCTGTGCTGGGGCCGGCCGCGCCCTGAATTTCAAAAGCTAGCGGTTGAAAAAGATATCCATCATTTACAAGATCTTTATATTTGTCAATTTTTCGCTCTTCCGCTTCAGCGGCAGCCGTACCAGGGTTACAAACAGACCCGGCATTAATCCTACAAGGGGCTAAGGAGTCTACTACCGTTACATCCCACAAGAGCTGCTTACCATCAGCCCATGGAACGAGCGTCAAACCGTCTGGTCGCTTCTGATCGGTCCTGTAGAGGTGTCGTGGTTCTAAAACAGACGGAATGTGAGTAGATGATAGACTCTGCTTTATAAGGGCATTCAGGTTTGAATGCCTAGAGAATCTCCCTGCACTTTTGAGGCAAGGCCAACCATCCTCGGTAACGTCTTTTCCGCACACGCATTTATGCCGTTCGCATATTTTTGATCCTAATCGAAGTCCTATCGCAATTCTGAGTTGTTGGTTCGACAGTTTTAACCTTAAATTTTTGCACGGGATGACGTTCAACCATTGGGATCCAAATCTATCTTGGAACGCGTTGAACCTTTTTACGTCCGTTGGTTCGAGTCGTAAAATCAAGTCTGCAATTTCGCTGTCAAAAATTGGCTCCGTCCATTTTTTTTGGATTTCATTTTCCGGAGCCATTTCAATTTTTCCAAGGTCAAACCACCGTTTAAGCGCATCATCATAGGTTCCATCCACATGCTCCAAACCAAAGATTTCGCTCAAGGCATCTTTCGCTCCTACTGCTGAGGCTAAGAAAGCGGGTAAAGCGAGTAGACGAGCGGAAGAAACGCCAAGCCATCTTTGGCTGCCGGGAGAACTGCTTGTAAAAACTGGTTATCATCCATTTTCACGTTAGTGACCTTGCATAACGAATTTCTTAGTAATTTATCGTAGCGTTCCAAAAATCATTTTGCAAAAAACAAGGGCTGGTACGCAAAAAATATAGGAGTTTTGGCATGCTAAAGCAATTTTTCAGGAGGTAAAACCATAATGGGCGTCTAGTTTGTCAATGACATCCGAGATTTTTTCAAGCTCCCTAATTTTTTCGTCGAGCAATTCTTTTCGGCAAAGTTCTCCGATTGGAGATCCTAAAATGAGGAGTTCTTCTTTTGTTTTTATTTTTATTTTGGGGCATATTTTTCGAAATTGTGTTAAAATTGAATTATACTGTGTACTAGTAGTCGGTCCCAAAAAACAAAGTTCACACTTCTCAGTGTTTAAGCTCAGGCCGTAAATTTGTTCCGATTTCAGAATGTTTTTAAGGTCCCGGAGTACTACCTTATAGTCGTCGGCTAAATTCCCATCATCTAAATACCAGATGTTAATTTTCGACTCCAACTGTTTGACTAGTGTATGAATTGTTTCCGCAAAAAGGGGTGGGGCTTCAGGATCACCTTGCTGAGTTCCGTCTTCTGACATTATGACAGAGCTTCCGTAAAAAAGGTAACTAGGTTTAGCATACGCGCAATGGGTGTAATTATATAATTCGGGGCGATTTGAAAAAACATGATTCAGCATTGTTTCTCTGTTTAAAGAGTTAAATGCATTCTTAAAATCTAGTTTTAAAAGAACAGTACATTTTGGATTGTCGTCGCGTTCAATTAGGTTTCGAAACGAGTGCGCAGCTATTTCTGCTCCTCGTTTGGTACCGCATCCTACCTGTACGTTTCCGAAAAAATTTTGTCGCTCGGAGAGGGCCTTGCTTCCAGCGCATTTAGACGCGATACGTCTCAGCGTGTTGCCTATGGCAATCGGTCTCAACCCTCCGTCTATTTTTATGAGGGCGATAAGCTTTGCGCCAAAAAAGAAAGGTCTTAGTGGTTCCGGTATTTTGCCATCTCCAATGAGGTTTATCAGCTTAGTAAGCGATTTCAGAAAATTAAGTCCTGCACTGCCATTCGACTTACTAACAAGATCTTTAAAAATTTGAGGAAATATTTTATCAGGACCTGCTGCTGATCCGTTTGGAAAGGACATTATCGCTTTGTATAGGTCGAAATCGGTTACGAAAACACTATCCAACTTTTCTGGATTTGGAGCTGCAAATTTGGCTCGCTGCGGGTGCTTAGATAACAATTTTTGATAGTTATCAGTTGAAAAAGGAGCTATTTTGTCATCCGAAGCAGCAAGCCTTATTCCTCCCTTTACATTTCCTTCATCGAGCTTACTACTTATTAACTTTATTCTCTGCTCGAGGTCACTCAGAGGCGGGCTTGAAACTTGGGGATGGGGTTTTGGAAGTGACACGTCATTTGCTCGAATTTTTTTATTTATCAAAGAGCTCATGCTTGTGGTCTGTTTGCGTCCACTTCTTTTCGGTTGCTCCAAAAAAAACAAGAACGACGTTAAAAAAATTAGCCATTTTGTAACATCTTCTACATTGTAGACGATGTCATTTATTTTGTCCGACAGATTTTCCGCCAAGGGAACACGCGAGTCTTTTGGTACTCTCTTGAGTACTCGGACATTTGAGATGGTTGTATTAACATAATTGTCTAGCACTAAATCATTACCTATTGTTGCTTTATTAACAGATTTTACATCAACGCATAAAGGACACTGAAACCATTGGGTTTTCTTAGAGTCGCTAAGAGAAATATTTACACAACTGATATGATACCAACTAGAACAACAATCACATTTAATCCAATTTATCAGTCCTGAAGGTTTTAAGCAATCTTTGCTTGTACACTCTTTGTTGTTTTTCCTCATCTTGACGCAGCATAAAGGTAAAAAAAAGGATTTTGACTGGACTTTAGGGGACTGAACTAACCCATGATAAGCGGTTAGTGGGAATTTTACAAATCAGCAAATAAAAAAAAAAAAAAAAAAAACAACTAAATTAATTTAAAAGGTTAAAAGGCAGCATAAAGGTTAAAAATCAAAAACAAGGAACAATCTCACCCGAGCTCAGTAGGTTCAGCGGCGCACCACCAGACTTCTCAAGCCAGTTCCAGTTCCCCACCTCCCCACAGAAAGCCACTTGACAGACCTGTCTCTAAAATACCTCAGAGGGCGCTCCACATACAGGCACAAACATCAAACATAACAAATCTATTTAATAAGTTTATCACAACAATTAGGCTAAAAGCAAGAGACAGTGATTAGATTGAACCTGAATCCACTGTCTCTCTACCACGAAATGCACGACATTCTCTTGCTTCATAAAATAATAAACGACCAATACAACTTCCATTGGAGACAATTTGTTCAGTTCAAAGAATCTAGAGCCCCAACAAGAAGATCAACGAAAAATAACTTAGCGCATAAAAATTATCATTACGAAAAATCGAAAAGCAATTTCTGGCACAGAACACCTATACTAGCAAACAAAATTCTACAGACTCAGGAAGAAGAAGACCTGTTTGCGTTGAAATACCAAAGACTCAAATCAAGCCTCAAAAACGTTTTCTGGATATATTTCATCAGTAAATATGAGGAAAGTGTCCCATGCACATGGAGAATAAACTGCTGCAATAGCTGTGTAAACTCAAAGAAACTATAAAACTCAGTTTAAAACTCCCAACGCGGGGCATTTTAGCCCCATGGCTTTATGTCTAAATCCTTGTTTATTATTATTATTATTATTATAAGCGTAACCCGTATCGATTTTAAATGAAAAGGACTTAAACACTTGACATCTTCTTTTATCATTATCACTGCCATATCTAGAAAATTCCAAGGATTTTGACTGGAATACATGATGAAGGGACTCATGACTGTAATCTCGGTTACTATGATACTTTTGACCTTCTGATTACCTTAGCGCTTAACAGACCAAAAAAAAACTGGCTAGGTCAAGACAGTTAAAACGAGTAGGGTTAAAGTAACTGACTGGGTTGAGTCAGCCAGCCGTCAATAGGTACTTTTTCTGCGCTCCATCACTGTGTAATGTCGGGCGAATGTTTCATTTCAGATTGATTGATTGATTCTGCTGAATTGAGCCCTGCTTTAATGGCTGTCGCTGCCACATTTCTAGAGCTCAGCAGGTGAGTTCGAAATAAACCTCTGCATGATTTAGAGTAGAATTTCGACAGATTTTTTGCTCCAAATGCTTGACAATTTAGCGCTAATGTGAAGAGTTGAGTAGACGATGTTGAGTTATAAGTTATCGAACTTAAACTGGTTATTGACCAACATGAACTGAAAGTACGAAATATTCGGTAAAAAATTACGTGGTGAGAGAAAGAAAGCACAAAATGTGTAGTGATATGTCACGTGGTGAGAATGTTTATGTTAGTCGTTGTAAATTTTTGTCAGATCAAAACGACAGTAGGCATTGAAACTGAATCACGCCATCAGATCATGATTCATGAAAAAAGACCGAAAAGTTTTTTTTTCATCGCGTTGAGAAATCCGTCAACGAGTTGATCCGTCTTGATGTAGACATCTTCGCTCCCCTCGAGTCTTCCAAGAGAAGAGTCAAGGAATTTCTTTTAGAGAGAACTGTGTCAACTTTTGATCAACTGAACTCTTGTTCATGGTTCTTGAAGTGCACTGCTTATTTTTATTTTTGCCTTAATTTACTCAAGAGAATTAATTCTTTCATTATTATTATTATGTTACAAGTGAGTCTATCAATCCTGATGATGAGCCGCAAAGTGATGGGAACAATAAGAAAAAAGGTGAAACGGTATACGCCGACAGTACAGATAGCAATAGCAGCACTACAGATACTGCTGCCGTCGCTACACATGAAACAACGACAGTAGCGACGGCTGGCAAGGAAAATTCTATAGAACCATCACCGCAACCACCCAGACTGCTCACTCAGAAAGAGTCGGATCTCTACTTTGCCAACAAGGTTAGTGTCTACCACTGTGACGCGCCATCACTGATGATTCATGGTAACAGCGCTCCTTCCTGTCCACTTCTAACGTTCTTACTAGCCTCAAGATGTGCTTTGGCCGTTTGAAGAATTACGCTTGCGATTAGCAATCATTATCAAACCGGAATATAGACTTTTTCGGCTAATTTTTTTCGGCAAGCCGAAAAGATAAAAATTTGGATGTTTTCCAGACTTTCGGATATTTTTGCAAATTTAACGTTTGTTTTGAAACTAATGTTAATTTTTTTCCGATTTGTCGGTTTATCTCAAAGTAATGAGAGTCACTCATTTTTTTATCGCAAGTGGTTGCGAAGCTCTGTTTCGCCTCTGTGTTAACATTGTTCTTCACCAAGTACCTGAGGGAGGTGATAGAAATTCTTGTCTGGTTTATGATGTTCAGTGATATGAATGGATTTTTAGTATGCTTTCGTATCGCAATCGTAAAGATCTGAACCGATAAAAGTTTGCATCCATTTTTTCAAAAAAGAAACTTAATTTTTTCGTTAAGTAGCGTGACAGAAGAATCAGCAGTTTTGATCTGACTAGCTTGATTGATGTTTAGGCAATGAGACTGGAAATAGCAGAGGAAAAATTAAAGCGGGAATGTCTACTCCCAGATTTGGATGGAGAATTCGTGGCCATGTTTGTGCTGACAGAGTGAGTAGTGATAGGGTTTTTTCCACTTCTATATTAACTGTCTGGTTTAGCGTTTTAGCTCAGCTTAGCTTAGCTCAGCTCCTCGCCGCCTAATTTGGAGGAAACTGTAGGCGATGATCATGTTGATGACTTTGTAGAATTGACCACTGGAACCACGACAGAGAACGAGTAGTGTTGCAATGTGAGTGTAGTGTGTTGGTGGTGAATTACAGCTTCATCACTGAGAAGTGGACCGAGCTCACCAGGATCAATCTCAAATGCATATCCCGCATACACTTCGCCAAGCAACTCACCTTCAAAAAGATGTCTCTTCAGTGGTAAGTCAGCCTTAGTGGAACCAGCTCAAACAAGTGTTTTATATACCTTGATATTTATCCTTGTAAAAAATTTGAACTAACCAATCATGATCCATTTTTTAAACTTACGATAACTTGTAAAGCTGAAAATATTCATAGCTTCAGCCAGAGAAAATATAATACAGATTGAAATCAGTTGCTTTCTTCTCTCCTCTTACCTCGCAAGCATTCCAGTATATACTAGATCTATTGAGATTAGGAAATATAAGAGTAACATTAGGATTAGTAGACTAAGAAGTTGCACAAATCTATCCTGTCGAAAAAAAAAGATAATGCGACGAACAGACTCGAGCAGACTCAATACAAACTTAGATTTAGAAAACATCAACCATGTCGAAAAAAAATCAATAGTAGAATTCGCCAATTTCCACGTCTCAATAAGTGTAATCAAGCCTAGTCAATACTAAAGACAAAAAACAATCACAACGAAAAACGATAGCCAAAAAACTACATCGCAAAGCGAAAAAGCAGTCAACGTCGACAAAATTTGAAACCAATTTGTGCTGTAAATCTTCTTAGTTATTATATGAACTGCGTTAAATAGAGCCGTAAATTTGATCTAACAAGCGATATCTCTTAAATAATATGCAATAACTAGTACTATAATTAAACTACAAGACGTCGACAAAAACTTTAAAAAGTTAAACCTAATTTCAAATCTGCGGTAAATTTTCTAAAAACTTTTACTTCAAATTTATAAATTCATGAAATATGGTTGGATCTTTAACCATCTAAGTTTTTTGCAAAATTTAACTTAATTATCTAATCATCAAGCTTTCCTTGAATTGAAATCTTAATCCTTACCCTAAGCATCAATAATTATACCAGATCATCAAGGCTTTCCTTCGATCTTATAAGTTTTACTTTAAAGCTCAAATCATTCTCTAAAATTTTTTCTTAACGAATTCGAACGTCGTTTCACTTTCCAACCCTTCCGAACGATTTCGGACTAACTAAAAAGTTTTCTCGAAAACTCACTGTTTAATTTAAGCTAAACAGAGAAGAGATTCGGTTATTCATATTTCATTTGCACCGCGCCTCTTATTTGACACAGGTCTGTAAAAATTCTTAGAACTACTTTGCTCTAAAAGAGTATTAAACGACATACTTTTGTTCTAATTATACCTGAAGCTTGTGAATTGATTCACTATTCACCAACCCTCGATCTCATCCATTCACATTTTTAAAAAATTAACCTTACTAAATTATAGAAAACGACAAAACGACCCGAGGAATAGGATAAAACTCACAAAATGAATAAGAATTAACAAGTTAAAAAATAGTCTTTTAGCAGCTACATTTTGCATCAATCATTCTGACACTTAAGTCAAAATGTAATCTAGCAAACAAACAAGAATATTTCTACACAATTGTTTGATTCATTTTTTCCCCGATAAGGTCTTGTCATAACCCCAGATAAACAAAACAGTAGGATATATAAGATCAAAAGAACAATCAAAAAGAATTCTTATCTACAAGCAAAAACACATTCTGAAAAATCGTTTTTCTAGAAGACGAAATGTAATTTCAGAATCTGATACAACATACAACATCTGATACAACAAATTCCAACAAGACTCAATCTCGAAAACATTCGAGACACACACCAGTTCATCAAAAAACGATTTTTTTCCGATTCAGAAGCAACCACAGCATCAATAAAAGTACAAAAAAAATCATAATAATAGGAAAACAGTATCAACCTTGGGACCAGCCTTTAAGACATATTGAGAGTTACGCGTTAACATTGATACCGCATAGAAAATCATTCAATACGACAACAATTTCGAGGCTGTTTCTGTCCTACTCTTTGTCAATCATCTCCTCGACAGTGCCCCGTCACGTGGACAAGTACAATTTCGTCACAATCTCATCATTTAAAAAAAAGACAACAGCCCATGCCGATAAGAATTTCCAGAAGATAAAAAAGTACATAGTAGATCATTACCCACTGATTATATGCAATGTAACCTCACAATATGGTATATTCACAATTGAAATCTTACCACCAGATTAAGATAACCAAACCCCATCACACAAAAGAGAAACTGATGATATAGATTTAAGATTTTCAAAATTTTTCGTAAAATACATCAAAAATATACAACATCAAAACTTGACACGAGCAAATTCAATTTTACAAATGATTTTTTTTTCAATAGGTTACTGCTATGTCTCCATCTTAGATAACGACGAAACTATAAGAACAGAAATTAATCCATTTGCAAGACTTTTAAATTCAATTCGCGAGAAACTCACTGATAAAGAAAATTCACAAATAATAAAAGTCGATCTGCAAAAAATTTCAGCATGGTTTATAATAGATTACTTCCACTATATTTTTGACCTTATGAAACAATCAAAAGAAGAATTTCGTGCAAACTGCGACGAAGACACAATTTTGGCAGACGAAACAGATTATGCTTGAGACCATGAATGTTGTCATGAAATTTTCATTAATAAACCAATGATATCTCAAGTTCAGTAAATCGAATAATTTCAGTCAATGAAAATTATTTGAGAATAATACAATAACAACCGATACAACACTAAACTACAATACGATGTTTCCTGATAGAACAGCTAACAATAGTTTAAACTCAACATTTATGCATACACAAAAATATATAAGCGGAACTACAACAATAAATCATCAAGGTTTTCAAATGCAATATAATTTCACTAATTATAACTGAAGCTTGTGAATTGATTCACTATTCACCAACCCTCGATCTCATCCATTCACATTTTAAAAAAAATTAAGCTTACTAAATTATAGAAAACGACAAAACGACCCGAGGAATAGGATAACACTCACAAAATGAGTAAGAATTAACAAGTTAAAAAATAGACATTTAGCAGCTACATTTTGCATCAATCATTCTGACACTTAAGTCAAACTGTAATCTAGCAAACAAACAAGAATATTTCTACACAATTGTTTAATTCATTTTTTCCCCGATAAGGTCTTGTCATAACCCCAGATAAACAAAACAGTAGGATATATAAGATCGAAAGAACAATCAAAAAGAATTCTTATCTACAAGCAAAAACACATTCTGAAAAATTGTTTTTCTAGAAGACGAAACGTAATTTCAGAATCTGATACAACATACAACATCTGATACAACAAATTCCAACAAGACTCAATCTCGAAAACTTTCGAAACACACACCAGGTCATCAAAAAACGATTTTTTCCGATTCAGAAGCAACCACAGCATCAATAAAAGTACAAAAAAAATCATAATAATAGGAAAACAGTATCAACCTTGGGACCAGCCTTTAAGACATATTGAGAGTTACGCGTTAACATTGAT